CAGGCAAAAGGGAGCAAGGATAGAAATGACAAACTCCACGAGGAGGAGGAGAGGCAGTAGGAAGCCCAAGACACTGAAGAGACACTGCAAGATGGTGACTGGGTACCTGGCCCAGAGGATAAGGACAGGCCCAGTGTGAACGAGCTAGGAGGCAGACCTTGTGGTATCAGGTATAAGCAGCCTGATGGAAATGAGCATCTCCAGAAGATTTGCACAACTCCCAGAGAACGTAAGGCTAGGTCATTTAAAAGTTTATACAGAACCAGTCCCAAACAAACCAAGTAAGAAAGACTAAGGCAATTATTAACTCAGAGATATAACATGTGAGAAAGAAATAACCTTAGCTGATTACACAGTTCAGTTCAGAGTAGCATGAGAACTCTCAGAATGTAGAGAATGAACCCTGACGGAACTAAAGTTATAATTACTCTGGGTGGGGCTGGGGGGGACGGCGAGGGATGGGTTTGGAGTATAGAGATAAAGATAACATCTCAAGCTGAAAATCAAGAAATGCATTCTATTTAAAGATTCAGGAGTTAGCTGGGTGTGGTGCTGGCCATCTGCAATCTCTTAGCACTTGGCAGGCAGAAGCAGGAAGGAATGCAAAGTCATCTTCAACAACATAGCAAGTTCAAGGCCACCCTGGGTTAGATAAGACCTCGTCTCAAAATAAACAAAACAAAATAAAGCAGAAAGTAAAATAATCCATGAAAAGATCAGGAAGTTCCTGTGGCAAGAGAAGACTAGGTCCTGTAACCAACAGTATTGAACTATTTCTTTAAAATTTTTATTTATTTGTGTATTATGTATGTGTGTGTGTTCTATTTGCATCTATGCCTACATGACAGAAGAAGGCATCAGACGTCATTACAGATGTTTGTGAGCCACCATGTGTGTGCTAGGAACTGAACTCAGAACCTCTGGGAAAACAGCCAATGCTCTTAACTGCTGAGCCATCTCTCTAGCCTTTTGAACTATTTTTTTTCTTTCAACTAAATTACATATAATTTGGGGGTTGTGGGGAGAGAAAGCTGACCCTCAGCTAATTCACAGTGGACAACCTTAAGTATCTTAAAATGTAATTGAAATCTTGTCTGGGTCAAAGAAGCTGATTAGGCTCAAATGGAGCAGGGTTTATCAGTAAACTGTAGGTTATTTGGTTAGTAAAGCTGTTCAAAACCCTGGAGGCACAGCCCTGCCTTCACATTAGAGCCGCATGGGGGACTTGGAGAGCCCATTCACACCATGCTCCACTTGAGCCAACAAATCACTGAGACTGGCAGATGGAGAGTTAAAAGCACTTCAGGAGAGTCTACGTGCAGTCTTCTGAGTCTAACGGGGCCTAAGGAAATAGTTTTAAATTTACCTCTTCATTTAATCATTCATTCATTTCTGCTTTTGAGATATAGGCTACCTACAAATCCCAGGACAGTTTTTTAACTCGCCCAGGCTGCCTCAGCCTCTGTAATACTGAGACACAGGTATGGGCCAGTATTCCATGCTCAGATCCATCTCCTTCCTTGCTAAAATAGTTATTAGTATTTTTTAAAAAGACAAGACTTCATCTATCTTAGGCTGGTCTTAAACTCCCAGTGGAGTTTAGGATAACCTTGAACTTCTGATCCTCCTGCCTCAGCTTTCTGTGATTGCAGGTGTACACCACCACACCCAGTTTGTGTGGGTGACTGAACAAGCAGCTCTGTGCATCCTCTGCTACCTGCCTTCATCTTTATTTATTATTATTTATTTAAAAAGATACTTGTGTGTGTGTGGACTTGTAAATATGATGAAACACTCATGGAAGTCAGTTTTTCTACCTTATTTGAGGCAATGCCTCTTGGTTTGCAAATTTGAACTCCAGGCTTGTTGGCCTGCTCACTTCTGGGAATTCCTCTGTCTCTGCTCCCTGTCTTAAGTAGTGCTGGAAATACAGACACACATTACCACGTTTGGCTTTTATGTGGGCTCTGGGGAACTGAACTTAGGTCGGCAGTCTGGACAATAAGTACTTTTATCCAATGAGTCATCTGCGGGGCTCCTCACCTGTATTTTCAGTTCTACCGAATTCAACTCTTGAGAGGCCTAGGTACAAAATACAGATGGGTTGGAGAGCTGGTTCGGTGGGAACAGGTTCTTACTGGCAAGCCTGATCCTTGGAGCCACACAACGTAAGGTGGAAGGGGAAAGCAACTCCACAGCGTTGACCTCTGACCTCCACACGTGTGCTGTGACATTTGTCCCTCAGTCCTATCCAATTAACATACACAATAATAATAAATACAAACTTTAAAAAGAAGAAAACATGGACCGGCAAGATGCCTCAACTGTTAAGATTACTCGCTGCTCTTGCAGAGGAGGAAGTTTGGTTGCAGCAGCCCACAACTGGCCATAACTCCTGCTTCCGGGAATCTAAAGCCCTCTTATTGTCCCCATGGGCACCCACATACATGTGTGCACCCAGATACAGACATGGAAATAAATAAAAATAAAGACAAAATCTTAAAACTCTACAAACTGATACTCTGAACAGAGCCTGTAACAACAGCTGACTGGTATGAAGGCCTCAGGGTAGGAAGTCCCAAGCAATGGCTTCACTAAAGCTCTACTCGGTTGCAGGGAGGGGGAGAGGACTTAACATCGACCCCTGGCCTAGCCTATGAGAGGACTCTACTTTCGAGCTGTAACCACCAAGTCAGTGCACAGGTCTGTGTGGTATCTGGGAAGCCAAGGAGGCAGAAACCATCTGTATTTTAAACTCAAGAGTTGTGTTTTCCCAGATCTGGCTGTGTAGTTCTCTCTGTTTCTCCTTTGCAATTCTGGGGTTTAACCATGGAAGAAGGTGGAACTACATGTCCTTCTGGTGGGAAAATTGAATGGTGTAGCTGCTAAGAAGAGTTCACTAGGTCTGCCACACCCTAAAGGCTGCAGTTACCACAGGGCCCAGTAATCCCACCTAGGCTTGCACACAGGAGTGATAAAAAGCCCAAGTCTGCATAAAAACAGGTAAAAGCATGCTCAGAGCGCCACATTTACACACTATCCAATGACTGGGAGCCACCTGCATTCCGGCTAGCTGTGTGTGGTAAACTTCATGCAGCATTAGCATTGAGCAGGCCTGAAGTCCTGACATGCTAGATCGTGCAGAAGCCTAGAAAACACTTGGTTAAACATGAAATCAGACACAAAGAGCCATGAGCTATCTGATTTCATTTACAGGAAGCATCTAGAAAAGGCAGATTCACAGGCAGAAGGAAAATTAGTGGGTGCTGCAGTAGGTAAGGGAGGGTCAGAAGGCTGCTAAAGGGTGTGGCATTTCTTGTTGAGAGATGGAATAAAAGGAAGGGTGATGGTGGGGGGGGTGGAGGGGAGGATACTGTAAACACACTAACTGCCACCAAGTGCTCACTTTAAAATGGTGACTAGGGTTTGTGTTGTGTGAATTTTATCTCAGTACAAATGCAAAGAATACATCTGTCAGAGTGTGATGTTAGAATCCAGCCTCTGCTCAGGCCCCAATATTTGCAGCAGCCCCTTCCTTCTCAGTTGCAGACAGACAGGCAGCTGCTGAAACACTTGCGACTCTAACAGACTCACCTGGGGAACTGAGTTTACAACAAAGAGGCTAGTGGCATACTTACCTCCTTCCCTGCCTACTGCCTAGGAACCAGCCTCAATGTAAGCTTGGACCTTCCCCAATTTTCTCAGAAAGGTATCAAAAAGAGACCCCCACTTCTGCCACACAGGCTCTGATTCCCCTTCTCCGGGGCTCCCCTGAATTGGAATTTCCCGAGCAACCTCATGGCAGGAAGGGGTCAGAGAGCCGGCCGAGCAGCTGGTGGTGACCACCACCAAGCCTCATAGTTTGAGTTTGATCCCAGGAAACCACATGGTGAAAGGAGAGAATCAACTTTTCTAAGTTGTCTTCTGACCTCCATATATGTACTATGGTGTGGGCATACTCGCGTGCGTGCGCACACACACACACACACACACACACACTATAACTAAGCAAGCAAACAAACAAATAATAAATGTAGTATGGCTGGTGAGATGGCTGGGTAGGTAAAGGTCTTCTGACCTCCCATGTGTGCACACACACATGCACAGACACAATATAACTAAGCAAAACAAACAAATGTAGTTTGGTTGGTAAGATGGCTGGGTAGATACAGGTCTTGAATAGACTGAAGGGTGAGAGGAAGAAAGGAAGGATGATTTATGAACTTTCATGTAGATTAAATGTTTAAAACAAAGCATTGTTAAGGCTGGAGAGATGGTTCCGTAGTTAAGAGCACTGGCTGCTCTTCCAGGGGACCCAGGTTTGATTCCTAGCATTCAGTTGGTGACTCAACCATCTTTAACCCTTGTTCCAGGGATCTGATACCTTTTTCTGGCCTTACAGGCACCAGACACATATGTGGTACACAGATCATACAAGCAAAACACACATATACATTATAAAAAGAAAATTTACCCCCACATAGCAATATAAACCAAATCCTGGTTTATATTGGAAACAATAAAGGGAAATTGTCATCAATTCTAGTCACTCCCAAGAACAACAATAAAAGGAAATTGTCATCAATTCTAGTCACTCCCAAGAACAAGAGTCTTGCCGAATTATAGAAAGACATTCTTTTTCTTTTTTAAAAAGGTATACATTTATTAAGAATTTGAAGTTACTTAAAATGTATTAAGGGGAACATTATAAATTCAGAAGTCCTAGGAATTAGTCATGGAAGGATTTAGGTTTCGAAGGATTCCTTAAGGTTTCCTACTGCATTCCTTATTGCTCTGGGCTATGGGCTTTAGGATCCCCTGCCCTGGAACTCTGACTACTTAACAGCAGATCAAGAACCTTACAACAGACAGGAGAGGCTCTGCTGTGCTTGTAGCCAAATGCGGACAACAGCACATCTAGTGAGTGTATGTAACATTTTCTGAAGTTCTTTGGACTGATGTGTACCATTTCCTCACTTAGTGAAGAGCTACTTGGGCCCCTTTCAAATGTTGGCCCCATCACAAACTCAGAATTCCATGTAGCATGCAGGTAGATGTCTCTAGGCAGAAGGACTTCCTCAGTTCTTATCCAATTACTCAGTATTGTCCCTTAGAGAGTTCACAGTTAGGCAGGTACGATCACTTTAAAAATTTAAAACTTACAAATGTTTCCAGATATAAAAGATGGCTGTTGGAAAGAGGCATGACAGAAAACCCCAAATCAGCAGTCTCCTCCAGAAGTCAGGTGGTAAGGGGTTCCTGAAGAATCGGCAAAAGCCATCCTACAAGGGATGAGAGAGGATAATTAGATGCCCCGTGAACAATCCTGAGCCCCGAATACACAGTAGGTGCAGCTGGAGAGATAGCTCAGCAGTTAAGAGTACTGTCTGCTCTTGCAGAAGACTTGGGTTCAGGTCCCAGCACCCACATGGTGTCTCACAACTGCCCATAACTCCAGTTCTAGGGAATCTGACATCCTCTCTGGCCTCCCTGAGCACTGCACATCTGTGGGAGATGTCCACATGAAGGGCTAGCTCTGAGCTTGGAGGTCAAATATGTGATCAGCACGCACAAGGCCCTGGGCCAGTCTCCAGTATGAAAAACAGTCCAAGATACATGGGAGGTTCTAGATCATGTCATTAAAAATGAAAGGCACATGGTTACTCCCGGTTAGGATTTATAATAAGCAATTCAACTTGCTGCATAAGCAACCAGCTAATTGCCTCATATGGCAGAGATAGCCTCATTACACCTCAATGCTTACTTAAAACATCTTGGAGAACTCTATTAAAGCCTCTCCTTACTCTCTGATCCCTTCTCCACAACCTCCAATAAAAATTGAAAAATGTAAACCTTGGGGCCTCCCTCCTTTGACAGCACCTGTTTTATCTTTAGCCCTTCTATTCTCTCTTGATCTTCTCTCTACAAATCAAATTCAAAATGGTTTCGAAGCTCACTGGGGACCTGGAGAACAGCTCTGGCTACTCCTTTAATAAGTGTCTTGGTTCTTACAGTCACAGGCCCCTTCTTTAGCACACTTTCCCTCTCAATTCATCCAGACTGCTGTGTGGTGCATCACACAGACTAATGTGGACAACATCCTTCCATTGTGACTATCTCTCACTAAGATACCCGGAGATGGGAGACCATACCACCCAAGTCAGCATGTGGCAATCAGACATTGAACTTAATGCCCGTTATCTCCAGACCAAAAGAAGCCTGGGGATGTTAGATTTGAACTAGAGGGTTCAGGCCATGTTAACTTACAGCAGCTGCTTCCTCTACCTTCATAGCGTGCATCAAAGAAATAGCAGAGACCCTGTTGAAAGTCAGCCTGGGAGCTTGGAAGCCTCTCTTCCTCAAAGGGAGCTTACGAACACCAGGCTGCTTGAGATTCTGAGTAATCAGAGGCTATGGATAGCAAATCCTGTATCATGAACAGACACTAACTAAAGGGCACAACCTTTCCCCCTTCCCTTTCTGCACCAGAATCAGTGACAGCTACACATGCATCCACACGGATTCATCATTATGTGGCACGAGACCTCCCCCTTCCCCTGGAACCTATGAGAGCGGGGGACGCCTCGCTTGGCCTTGTGGACCGAGACTCTCAGAGCTGCTGCCATGCTGTTTTCCCACGGTCTTGATAACTCTGCTAGTGCATCTCTTTCCTGAAAAGGAAAATCTGCCCAAGTCTGAGATCTTATGAGAGAGAGGAGGTAGAGGAGGGAGCCAGGAGGCAGAGGGAGAAATCAACACTCTGTCTTAATGACCTCTTCGGAGGGCTCAGAGGGTCCTCAGAAACTCAGCTGAAAGCAGTCTGTGGGCCCAATGGAGACCCATACATCAGGGGCAGGGCAGGTGTTAACATGTCATGCTGCCTTTCCTTCCATAGGTCACTTAAATGCAGGCTCCTGACAGGAGTGTAATCCATTTGGCTTTTGTATAGCAGGTTTTAATAATTAGGTTACATTTATCCCCATAACATGGGCCGCCTCCATTTTGATTCAACTCCAATGAAGAGGGAAGTAAAAAAACCCAAGGCTAACCTCAACTTCCAAGGGGCCCATTGTGGGCTAACCTAGGATAGAGGGTTTCCCATCCTCCTTTCTTCTCTTTTCTGGTGGTGCTGGGGATCAAACCCAGGGCTCCACAGATGCTAACAGTCTACCAGCAAGCTCATCCTGTGTGTTTTCCTTGATCAATAGCTCTGTGCAGCCGGAGGCTAAGGACTGCCCCTTTAGCCTACACCACGGAGCTTAAGGACCAACAGAAAGCCATGAGCCTGGAGGTTGCCCAGCAGGGAAAAGTGCAGTGGCTTAAAAGATCCCAGTCGGGGTCTTGGTGGCCACACACATTTCACAATCCCTAAGGCCTTACTCTAATAAAGGGTAAGAGAAGAAGCTCTAGAGAGCCTGGACATAGCTACTGTTCCCTTTATACTACTTGGACCTATCAGACTTAACAGTCTTAGCCCTGACAGTCCTGGGCTAAGCCACGGGTGCCCGGCTCCTCCTGACTGAAGTTTTATAAGAACTATTGAGCAAGAGTAGTCTGAGTGCCTATAAAGAAATCCCTGGGCTGGCGACGTGGCTCATGGAGTGCTCGCTCAGTATGCTCAAAGCCCTGGCCTTCCACATCTAGCACCACATAAACCCACCATAATGACATAGCCTGTAATTCTGGTGCTCCTAGGACGGAAACAGGAGGACCACAGTGGCAGGAGAGTGATGATATTTGAGGCCAGCCTGGATTGGCTACATAAGACCCTGAGTAAAGGCACTCAGCACAGCATTCTGCGCCCCCTCCCCAAACCATCTCCATCACGCTCCAGTGGTCTCACCCAGCCACCGTGAGCCTCCAGCCAGGAGCGGTACCGTCCCATGAGCAGATTATACAGCAAGTTCACTGTGAGATAGCAATCTTGGTCCACTAGGAGACGACTCCTCAAATCCCTCCTTTGCTTGATAGTCCTGCAAGGGCTTTGAGTCACAACCGTCCCCGCGAAGGCCAGGAGCGCCGCCAGGCGGTCCCAGGTGAGGTCTTGGTCATTGGAGAAAAACTTACCTACTAACTGTTTCACCAGCTCAGGGCGATTGCCCTGGTAGTCGCGGAAGGAGGAAAAAAAACCCCTGATGCTTCTGTTGGATCTGCCTAGTCACAGAGCGCAGCATGGCCGCCTCGACAGATGTGGGCGGTGGCTCCGGGGTGCCCGGTTCCCGAGCGCAGGACAATATGTAGTCAGTCAGCAGCAGTCTAGTGCGTCCCTGCAGCAGGTCGTCCATCCTTTGGCCTTTGCACCTGGTCCAACCTCAGCTGGCTTTCTAGGCTCAGCTACTTCCCCCTGACCCGCCTGGACATTTGGGAATACCACTTGCACCTGTTACAAGGAGCGAGTCAAGGGGTGGAGCAATCAGGAGCAGCAGGAGACCCTTGCGTTATTGTTGAGGATTAAACAGATGGGGGCTGGAACTTTCTAGGGGGTGAGTAGGCCTTGGAATGGTCATTCCCCTGTCTCAGCCTCGTGGGTTGCTGGGATTACAGGCTTGGGCCATCAGGCCCAGCTAGTAGCGATGTCTTAACTTGTTATTATTGACTGGGCCTACTTGTTTGGGAAATAAGGATACATAAATCATTTTGCAAGTGGTTGTCCCAGGCTGGAGGAGGCAATGTGGCCCCAGCTTCTGACTCTAACCTATTTCTGACCTACTAGCTCTGCATCCTAGAGCCTGTCTGTCCTCCACTGATAAATTTCTAGTACAGTGGTTCTCAACCTTCCTAATGCTGCTATCCTCAGGTCGTGGTGACCCCCAACTATACAATTATTTTGTTGCTGCTTCATAACTGTAATTTTGCTACTGTTATGAAGCATAGTGTAAATATCTGATACGCAGGGCATCTGATATGTGACTCCCACAGGGGCCGAGACTCACAGGTTGAGAACCACTGCTCTAGTTTACAGGCCTGCTGGGCTCTAAACTCTGTGAGCCCTCTTGGGGCTCCTTTTTGGCACTCTGTGATGCTGATGTTCTCCCAAGTTTCCTCGGAGGCCCTCTCCCAGAGGTCAACTCTGCCCAGTTGTCCTGGTCCTTTCTTTATGCCCACATTCTCTAGAGGCCTGCTTTAATCCAGGAGAGTCTCCTTGGGGGGCAAAGAGAGCTCTTTAGAGTGTCAAAGTATAATCCAGAACCCTTTCAAGTCCCTGAGACTCTTTCAGGGCTCATGAGGGATATTTATATAATACTAATGACATAAAAATACATGTGGCTTTTGTCACTCTCAGTTACACAGAGATTGCTGAAGTGGTAATTGCCATCCTGCTGACTGGAAGAATGTTGTTCTGCATTTTGAGGGTCTCTTTGAGGAGCATGGGGCTGGGGCTGGGGCTGGGGCTACAAAGCCAGCACTAAGCAAAGAGCCAGGCAGAATAGGGTGAGACAGGAGATGGACAATCTGGGACACACATACACACCCTGCTTCTCAGGGACAGCAAATCTTTGGCTGGTCAGATGCCCAAGGCCACCAACAATGCCAGTTTTTTTTCTTTTCTACCAGTGTCTGAGGTGACCTTTGGTTCCCAGGACACTTAAAACAAAACTAAGCGCACTTTTAAAAGTCTTGGAGTCGGGGCTGTATTTCAGTTGGTAGAGTGTTTGTGACTCTTGAGGGAAGGTCTGGGTTTGATCTCAGGCAGCACCTACAGTATTAGTGTGCAGTGCATGCTGGCAATCCCAATATACCAACACCCGAGAGGCAAAGGCAGAGGGATCAAAAGTTCCCAATCATACTTGACAATGTAGAAGGTTTGAGGGCAGCCTGGGAGGCATGACAATTTGTTTCATTAAAAACATAACAAGAGGCAGGGAGATTGGTCAGAGGGTAAGGATGCTTGCTACCAATTGGGCTTGACAGCCTGAGTCCCTAGGCACCATACAGTGGAAGGAGAGAGCAGGTTCCTGATGTTTATCCTCTGACCTCCACAGAAGATGAGGCCTCACTATGGGGCTGAGGCTTGAACCCTTGTGTCCAAGCCATCCTGCTGCCTCTGCTCCCATGTACCTGGACTTCCAAGTATGTGCCGCCATTTTTATTAAGATGGCATCTTATTACACTAAGAGTTTCTAAAAGAGCAAACCTATACACCTTTGAAAGAACAAAAGGAAGAGAAAGCAGGGACCTTGTAATATGCAGCAGCCAGTTGCATCTAGAAGGAATTTATGGTTCAAATAAAGACAGGATACCCCTTGGATAGCAAAGACATTATTATTCATGGCCTGCCCAGCAGTCTGTGTAAGTACAACTGCTGTGTGGGACATTCAAATATAATTTATAGGGACAACACATACTTTATCGTAGGCATTTCTGATAACACTACTAGCAGGCTTTTAAATCAATTTAGTGACCTGTCTTCCCACACCAGAAGGCTCTGTTTGCTCTCTGCAGTATTTGTGCTAGCAATGGCAACCAGCTTCCCCTCAGGTGTGGGGGACGCTTAGCCCTAGACTGCCATTTACCACAAGTCAAATATACCGCCTGTTTTCTGCATGTGTCCACTTCATTTCCAAAGCCTCCCCAGACCCTCCCATCCCCCCAAAACCAAAAAAAGCATATTATCTAAAAAAAAAAAGGGACAACTGAACAGGTTGAAAAAAGATACTTTTACCTAAAAACAGTTTTAAAAAGTGATTCTGGAACTAGAATATCCTCTATTACAGACCAGTGAACAGTCCTTCTTACAGTCCACATAACCGGCACATCCCGATGATGGTTCTAGAAGTCATTGTCCACACCAAGAAACGGTAGAGTTTAAAGTGCTCTGAAGACAGACTAGATTCAAGGAAGCAACGAGGGATGTTTTAAATGCTGATAAGTGTGGAATTCTACTGGTTGGAATAACTTCAAAAACAGACAAAATTTCACAGTTTTTGAGATGAAAGAAGGGCTTGAAGGTATAGTTGAAGTGCCACCGCCTATCCAAGTATTTCCAGGGAGGGGGCAGATTTCATGGAGACACTGGACAGGGTGAGTGAGTGCCAAGCTGTGATGTTGCTCCCATAAGCTAACCTGTGGGAAGCCCTGGGCTCATTGAGACGTCGTATCTACACGGTAGGACATATGTTCTTCTTGCACGCTGTGAGAGGATTATGCCCAAACCTGAGAAGACACGGATAGATCCTTTTTAATAGTTAATAGTTTGTATTGTAAGAGTTGAATTTAATGTTTAAAGATAGGAAATCAGGGTGCACACCCACATGCCCACACACAAATACACAGGCATGCACGCTCACACACGCCACTGACCAGGGCTCGCACAGGCTTCAGCTATTTTCTCACCACTGTGTTGAACACCTGTGAGCACGAGGCTCTCAACCTCAGAGACACCCTCTAGCCACCTGTGTCTCTCGGGACAGGGGCCGAGACTGCTCAGGAGGGCTACTGCCCTTCCTCTCCGTTCACACAGGAAAATGGAACATCTCTCTTACTCTTAGGGTGTGATCCCACGATCCTGAGCAGAATGCTGTGCCATCAGGAGACACCCGCAGAGTGCTAACACGGTTTTCATGTCCAAACAGGATGGAGACCCGGGAGCCCTTGAGAACATCCCAGACATTGATGGTATAGTCATTGTACCCAGCGAAGAGCAGGCGACCTGGAAGAAGATACAATGGTTAAATCAGTTCCTGTTTTTCCTTTCTTAACTTTCACTCACTCACTCACTCACCAATTAATTTCATCATCCACCCATCTACCCATCCATCCACCCACCCATCCATCCATCTACCCACTTACCCACCTCTCCATCCATCCACCCACCCATCTACACAATAAACACAGATTAATCTAGGCCCACTGTATGGCAGGCAATGTGTGTTGCCTTTGCAATTCAGGATAAGTAGTCATTGTCCTCTGGGGAAGGCATGGGACAGAGAGGAATATCACTGTAGCACCAGGTGGTAGAAGCCACATGTGTATAGGATGCCCTGGGCCTTAGTGGAAGCAGGAACACTTCTGCCACTTTTAAGCCTTCAACTTTAGTTCACAGAGATTAAGGCAAAGCGATCGATGTTTTTGAAGGATGAGCCTTCAATGCTTGGGTAGAGGTACCAGAAAAGTGGCTGCAGTCTTGCGCGCAAAGACAGAGACCCAGAACAGGGGGGTGTCCCGTCAACACTGGCTTGGGCAGGGTTGTAGGGGGTTTCAGACCATAAAGTGGGAAGGGCCAGGGGATGAGGTGAAGGGAGAGATGTCTGAAGGTCCCACGTGGCCTCACTGAAAGCTCAGTGATGGGAGGCTTGGCAGAGAGCGGGTTTGTTCTTCTTAAGTCTAGTCCTACAGTCCTGGGGAAGTTCCTGGAGTAAAACCTTACCACTGAGGGAGAAATCCACGCTCGACGCTCCAAATATGATACTCTCCTTGGAGTAGATGGCAACCTCCCTATCTGCCCTCAGGTCATAGAGGCGACACTGAGGTACAAAGAAACAAAGGTACAATTACTGACCACACACTTGCTATTACTATTGGGGACCAGCAGCTTCTGTAGTTTGAGGGATGACAGGAAAAAAACCTCTTTAGTTCTTTCTCTTTTTATTTCATCCTTCAGTCCTATTTCCAGTTAATCTCTATGGGTCAGTAGGGACTCAAAGAAACAGCTAGTGTAAAAAATTTCGTCAGGTAACAGAGACAAACATGGAGCCCTACCTTCTTTTCCTTGATGAAGCACATACAGTTATCATGGAACATTCTCTAATACTTAGAAATTCATACACAGAGAAACGAAAGTCACCATGGCAAGTCCTACAGGTTATTTGCTAATGTCTGGGATGTTCTGTGTGTGTGCTGGGTAGTTTTATGTCAACTTGACACAGGCGAAAGTCATCTGAATAAAAGAAACCTCAGTTAAGAAGATGTCTCCATAGGCCTGATTTGTGGGCCAGCCTGTAGAACATTTTCTTCATTGGTGATTGATGGGGGAGGGCCAGCCCATTGTAGGCACTGCTATCCCTGGGCTGGTGGGCTGCTATTAAAAAGCAAGTTGGGCCAGCCATGAAGAGCATACCAGTAAGCAGCAGCTCTGCACGGACTGTCAGTGCTTGCCTCCAGGCTTGAGTTCCTGCCCTGACTTCCTTTAATGAATAGTGATATGGAAGTGTAAACCAAATAAACCTTTTCCTCCCCAACTTGCTTTTTTGGTCACCATGGTGTTTCATCAGAGCAGTAGAAACCCTGACTAAGACTGTATGGAAATGGATGGGGTGGGTGTTCACTGCTGGCTCAGTCAACATTCTGTGGTAAGCACTTACCA